TTAAAGGAGACATATTATGCCCCTTTTTACAATATGTAATATAAGTCTCTGGTGTCCCCAGAATGTGTCTGTGAAGTTTCAGCTCAAAATACTCCACAGATCATTTATTATATCATTTTGAAAATGCTTATTTTGAGTGGAAGCAGAAACATGCTGTTTTTCGGGCCTGTTTCTTTAAATGCAAATGAGCTGCTGCTCCCCGCCCCCTTTTCCAGAATAGAGCTGCGTCATTACAGCTTGGACCTGCTAAAAACATCTGTTTTGGTTCTGATTATCATGTTTATCGCGCTGAAATAACGCATTTTAAACCATATTAGTTTAAACTTCTGAAATATGGTTTTCTGAGCGCACACGTACAGAAAGCGGCTGTCACAGCATGTGAATACTATATTGCAGCAGCAATATACAGTAAATAAATCAATAAATCCACTGCTCTGTTGTCTCCTCTGAGGCTGGGACTCTAAACAGTGTTCTGTGCTCGTCTGTGCAGCCAAACACAGAACAGTTAGCATGTTTTGCTCAAACTTTGGCCATGGCGTAGATGCACCGGGGACCTGATTATAGCACTTAAAACCTGGAAAAGTCAAGATTTCCATGATATGTCACCTTTAAGTGAAAAATGAAAGAGTTAAAGAGAGTTACGATTGTCTTTTTATTAACTAACATTAACACAGATTAATACATGTATTATTCCATGTTCGTTTGTATACCGTTTATGCGCATAGTCTGAAGTCTTCTCCATTTTTAGTGTATCTCTGTGGCAGAATTACAGCGCCACATGCTGGTCTGACATGAATACTACATCGTTTTGTGTCGGTTTCATGGTTTCGTGTGGACGCAGGTATTTCTTGAGACGAGGGAAAAAAAGATCGGATAGGGAACGCTCTGGCTTCGTGTGGACGTAGCCTTAGTTTACTGCCTACGTTTAGCTTTTTACTTCTGGCAATTGTATGCATGCTTCAGAAGATTATCATGATGAACAAAACATGTAAGAATCACAAACTTCTGTTGCTCACAGATCTTATTTTCTACAGTAATCCAAAAGCAGATGGAAAAACCCTATTGTGTTTTTGTCAAATAAACCAGGGTGACGCTGACTGCAAGAACATGTCATCACTTCAGCGCTCTATTGCATTTGGTGCATCTTGTGGCAAAGAAATGAACCTCTTCGGCATTAAATATGTTAAACTGATGTCCACAGCCTGTGTGTGCAGGGTTTTCTGTGTGTCTGATGAGTAAACGCACAGAAATCCGGATGCTCCTACAGGCGGGACAAACAGGAACAGAATGACTCCACTGCACAAAGGGAGGAAACACTAATATGCTCGTTCACACACACACACACACACACACACACACACACACACACACGGAGGGGGGACG